GAGAGCCCGCCATCGGGGTCGGCGCCGGGGGGATTCGCGCCCTTTTTGAAGGGCTTGTAGAGCTGGAGGAAGCCTGGGCGCCATCTTGGCGGCCAGTAGGCTCGGCCTTCTTGGCTTTTTTCCTCTTTTGCAGCAGCGGATCGCCATTCCTTTCAGGTAAGTCAGGCTCCCCATTGGAATCACGGCCCGGTAGAAGAGTCAAGGGGCCTGAGGGGAGCAATGCCCGCTCATAAAGGGCAGCCTTCAACCTGAGCTCCCTATTTTTTCTGGTCTGGGGGGTAAAGGCCTTGCAAATAGCACAGGCCTGCGTGAGGTGTCCTTCCCCCAGACAAGCAAGGCACAGCGAGTGCCCATCATTATCCGGATAGTTGTTTGGGCACTTGGTACAACGTTTGAAGGAAGTTGTGGCCGACATCTCGGGTACACAACACAGAATAGTCAGAATAATCAGAAGAATAGCAAAGGCAGTCTCAATTCAATAGTAATATTACGTAAGAAGCACAAAGAAGTTCCCTAGCTTGCTCAGGCGGAATAAGAGAACTGAGAGGCTAGGGCCCGCCCACTGGCTATTTATGGGCAGGGGGGAGTGGGCGGGCTAGATCTAAATGTATCTTTTTATCTTCTAGAGAGTTCCGAATTGCTCTGCGCAGGCGCAGGAAATACCACATGTATGATTCACAGGGACCACGACAGGGAACCTGTCTCTCCCCTAAGGATACTCTTGTTAGTGGGCATGTTGTAATGGTATTCCCACCTGATCTGTGGAAAGAAGGATTTTTTTTAAAAAAAATAGTTAAACTATCATTAATAAAGCCAATTACAATGAATTATGAAAGCACCAAAATAAGGTGTTACATAGACTTGAAGGCATTAGATGATGGTGACTGTGGACATGAAGCACGGTCAGGCCTGGTTGGTGCTAGAATGGAGGACCACCAAGAAATACTAGATGCTGTAGGCTATATTTCAGAGGAAGACTGTGCCTAAGAAAACCCCTATGAAAATCTTGTCACCATAACTAAGCGCTCACCTTTTATCACTCTGTTCAAGAGATGGTTCCTTTTTTGAATAGGATACAATACTCTAATTGACCTGTGGATAAGTTGGCCCAGTTTTGGTTGGTTTTTTAAACTAACATTTCTAGACTTATACATGAGTACATACAGTAATTAATCTATAAATAACTGCCAAGCAGCTCTAACTGGAACCACTGCAGCATTGATCTCTAGCTTTGCATAAGCAGTTTTACCACCTTCTGATAGTGCCATTTGCTCAGGAAAACATGGAATCCCAAAATATACTTTAGTATGAAAAAGATTATTCTGCAATGCTGGATTTACATACATACGTACAACATCCTGGGTGTCATAACATCACTCAAACCAATTATCTTTGAACATTAAGAACTTTTTCAGCCCTAGGAATGAGGTTCTTCCTTAGCCAAGAGCTGATCGCATCAGAAGCAATTAAAGCTCCATGCCATGGATCTGACCCATGCCTTAAACAGGGCAGAAACCGCCATTTCACTTCTGTTTATTTCATAGAATAATTCCAAATTGCTGCAATCTCATTGCTGCCTTAAATAACCATGTAAGCCAACTGCTTTTGCAACAAACATTTAGGAGGATAAAAGGAAGAGATGGAGAGCAACAGTCTGCTCTCCCCTTTTCAAAATATGAGAGTCATGTAGAAAGTGATGCCTGTATGGTCGCAATTGCACCAACCAAAATGTATTCTCTCCCCTTTCTCAATCATTCAAGATAAACAAATGACACCCCCCTTTACACAGAAAACCAAAAGAAACCAAAAGAAAAGGAAATACTGGTGGCAATGCAGGTGGTGCTCCTGTGAAATCAAATTAAGATCTGCACGTGGGTCTCAGGGTAGCTTGGTTCATGCCATGGTTCAGTGCTATGGTGTTGGAAACAGGCAACCTTCTCAAGCCTCCTCTGTATGATTTGTCTGTAATGATTTGTCTGTATATAATATGCTGTTCTATTTACTGAAGTGTATATGTGTTCTTTGGCATGTGGTTTTTCCTAACTCTATGTTCTTGAGGTTGTGGGAGGGGCTGCAGACCATGTGACCAGATGAGGGACTGTTTAGAACACAGTTAAAAGTTGACAGTTGAGGAATGACCACTGAAGATGACAGCTAAAGTAGACAGTTAGAGAAGAAAGCTGTACAGAGCTGTATAGTGTTGAAGAGACTGATAAAGACTGAGAGTTAAAGACGCAAAACAAAATGTCTGAAAGTTTAAACTAACAAGAAATGTGCCTGTATATTTAAATGCATGAAGTTGTAAGTAAAACAAACAAATTATGTTTAAAGAAGTCTGAATTATGTGGGCTATTTATGGGAGAGTATAAGTGTTTTGAACACTGAACAACACTTCTGAAGAGCTGCTAAATATACGTATATTTTTTGTGTGTGTATTGGCATATTCTCTGTTCGAAATGTAGAAGCAATGGCTCTCTGGCACTCCTCCAGCTCTTTGAACGTAGTCAGGAGTCACCTGGGCTTGACAATGCGATGTAATGGAAGACACACGACAAGTTGAATTCCAACTGCAGAAGCTGTTTATTGTGGGCCTAGCAATAGGGGCAGAATGCATGGAGCATAAAAGGTCTGTCACACCCCCAAATGGGGTTGCAAGGTTATCACTTTGACAGAGAATTAAAGACACATTCTCATTGGTCTACAGCAGTGGTTCTCAACCTTCCTAATACCATGACCTCGCCCCCTCCCCCTCCTCCTCTATTTATAAAGGGGACTCAGGGCGGTTTACACACAAAAAGTATTAGCATTACAAAAAATAGCATTACAAATTACCAAATATAACTCCCATGTTGGATCAGCTCCACTGGTTACCAGTTTGCTACCAAGCCCAATACAAAGTGCTGGCTTTGACCTATAAAGTCCTAAACGGCCCCAGCCCAATTTACCTGTTTGAATGCATCTCCCTCTATGAACCACCACGGAGAATAAGTTCTTCCGGAGGGGCCCTGCTCTCATTCCTGCCACCATCACAGGCACAATTGGCAGGGATGAGAGACAGGGCCTTCTCAGTTATTGCCCCCGGCTATGTGACTCCCTCCATGGTGAGATTAGATCAGCCCCCTCCCTCCTGTCCTTCAGAAAGATGGTAAAAACTTGGATGTGGGACCAAGCGTTTGGGACAGTGCAATAAGGCAACAACAGGAAACTTCACCCTGATGACCAGATCTGGTATGGCTGATCTGAGATAGTTTTAAACAATTAATTTTAAAGTGGAGATAACTGATTTTAGTCTTATGTATATTTATAGTTTATTTTATGTTCCGGCATTGAATGTCTGCCGTATATATATTGTTCTCCACCTTGAGTCCCCTTTGGGGTGAGAAGGGCATAATATAAATGTTTTAAATAAATGCATAATACATAATAAACTGATATTACCTAACATCCAAAAACATTTGCATTTTTCAAATAACCCAGGCATTACCGGGTACCCAAGTTAGTTCTTAATAAAAGACCCACAGCCACTCAAGACAGAAACTCCTTCAATTTGGGGGGGGGGGGTATCCTCAAAACCATTAAGAATTCCAGATCATATTCAATTTCAAGAAAAGGCACTGCCTAGAAAGTTGTGAAAGGCCCTTAAACTTTCTTGGTGTGGGTGGGTGGGGGGTTGCCCAACAGTCTAGGGAAGACGTGCCAACCTAGGCATCTAGATCACTGTTTATCAAAACCCTAACTCTGTTCCTGGATTTGCTTAATCAAAATATATTCTGAGTCATTTTACTCTAATTTAAACACATCTCCCAATTTCCAATGTAATGTTGAGTTTTTGTTAATTTAACTCTTGATATTTTATGACTAATATCCAGAATCCCAAATGTCTTTCATCTCAATAACAAGAAAGAAAGAAAATTCAAAGAAGAATGAATCACTCTTGTTCCGATGGCAAATACAACGTTGAAGCGTGTAGCCGATAACCACATACCTGATAGTAATACTTGTAGTACAAAATAGCTTTTATGGAGACTCAAAATCAAATAGTTGGCCTTGTGTGGTTTTTTTGAAAATCCACTTTAATTTTGAGTTTTTTAAAAGATTTTTCGCAGAGCCTCTAGGATGCTTTTGTGGAACCCAAAGGTTCCACAGACCACAGTTTAGGAACTGCTGATCTAGATGTTGCCCATGACACCTTTCCTGTCTTTACTTCAATTGCCAATAAGCCACAGAGCTTTGCACTTGATCTCCTTCCTTTCTCTCAATGGGTTCTTGGACATAGACAAGGAGGACCATCTGCAACTTCTTGGAAAAGCAATGGCCTCAACATTCACAGCATCCACAGCTAATCATAATCTCCTCTGTTGAAAAGAACAGGAAAATGCAGTAACCACAGGTTGTGCAAAGCGCTCCACAAAGCTGTGTCCACATGTCACTTGTGGTGGACTGCAAGAGACATGAGGTTGGTGCTAAGTTAGGTACCAAGTCTTTGGAACAAAAACCCAGTAGGATTGACTTCCTAAAGCTGGGAACAATGAGGCCATAAGTCAACGAAGCCATAAGATTTTACTATCTTCCTGTAAGGCTGTGTGAGTAAAAATGCCCTTTCCAGGAAACCCTAAGACCAAGATCTGAAATAATCTAATGGTAACACTGTGGAGAGTGATATTAAAACAGGCATTTGCACGCACTAAGCAATTACATGAAATTATGAAATATAAAAGAAAGGTTGGGCATGCATCAGCAAAACCAAAGTAAAATAAAGCAATTAAGTAACAACTGCAACTGAAGAAATGCCCCCAATCAACCTCAATTCTGTGTAGGAAATGTGCATTGTTTGCAAAAGCATTAAATCAGAGCATGTATTAGAACACAGGCAGCCCTTGAATGCTCATTTAATAGTGAGATTAAACAAGCACAAATAGTCATGATAAATGCCATGTATTTTTCACTCCCTCAACCTGAGCCTTCTGGAAGTCACTCACAGAGAAGCATTTGCACATTACCTTTTGCTGATTCAGAGCGCTTCGGCAGATCCAGTGTATCAAAGTTCCTGTCCGCATCACTGTTCTTCTTGCCTGTGCATGACACAGAAGAATGAGCAATGAAAGCATTCAGAGCGTGAATGAACCAAAATCAGTTACTGTAATATCCAAAACCAAGAAGAGATGGAATACAAATCTCAAAATTGTGCATGTATGCATACATATACAAGTACATACATACCACCCCATCACACACAAACATCATGTATGCATGCACCCACATTGTACTTACACAAGGGTCTTTGGCACTGAAATGACCATATTTGTGGTTTCACATTCATACATATAAAATGCATATCGGCATGGACTGGTTTCAGCCATTGGACAAGATTTCTAGAGCACTGCTTCTTAAGATATCTGATGTAAGGGATCCACAGACTATCAAAGGGTTTTCTTGGAAAAAATTGTCCAGAGGAGGTTTGTCTTAACCTTTCTCTGAAGCTGAGAGTGTGTGACTTGCCCAAAGTCACCAGCTAGAGGGATGACCATATTGCTGGGGAAGCAGTACAAGGAAGAGCGTGTTAGGGTGCATCTACACTGTCAAAGTAAAGCAGTTTAACACCACTTGAACTGCCATGGCTCAATGTTATGGAAACATAGAGATTATAGTTTTACAAAGTGTTTAGGCTTCTCTATCAAACAGTGCCGGTGCTTCTCCAAACAACAAGTCCCAGGATTCCATAGCATTGACCCATGGGACTTCAACTGGTGCCAAACTGAATTAATTTTACAGTGTAAACACACTCTTAGTCTTCCTTTCTGCACAATTTTTTTCTAACAAAACTGCCCGTCCTCCATATGACACTCTCAACATAAATTGCCCAGGCCAAGCTGCACTATTTCCATGTGTAGTCAATATTCAAATGCACAGCAATTTAATGAGACAAGGAGATTTGATCAATGTGTTTCAGTGGATTTCAAGGCCTGTTGGATTCACCAGCCAGTTTCAAGAGGCAAACTGGTGAGGGAGTTTGTTTTGTGTCTGTCGGCTCATCGAGTTCAACATGAAAGCCCAAGTTTCTCTTGCCTCTGTGAGCCAAAACATATCTTGACCTATTTTGTCAAATATTCCCATGAAAACTTTGGTGGAATAACTGCCAGCAATCCACAAAAGTGCCCAGAATCCTTCATTCTAAGGCTCCTCAAACAAGACAGTGATACCCTATTTGGGAAAGCAAGGAACACTCAAAGGCAGCAGCAAGATGTCAGCCGCCATGACAGAATGCCAGATTTCATGATGACAACCTGGTCCTACTGCTTCACTAAAAAGCTGACTTGAAGTTGTCACTTCTCAGGCAAAAAGGGGGAAATGACAAGGTTTTGTGGCAGAAGGCACGACTGCCAGAGAGGGAAAACTGATTTCTAAGAGACAAGCTTCAAAACAAGAGACAGCGCCAACACATTCCATTTTATCCTTGACAAACTCCCTACTTAAGTGCTTTCCAAAATTTTTCTAGATTCTTTTTCTAAGCCGGTCCAGTTCCAGTACAAAAACCCCACAACACAACACCAATGCCTTCAGCTCCCCAGCAGAGCAGTCCATGTTCAATGGAATTGACTCCATGTGATGTGTGCTCATTACGAGACACAGAACAGAACCATCTTGTTCATCTGTAGAAGTCCAGATGACCCCCAATTTGTCACCCTTATGCATGTTGTAGATCAGTGGTGTCCAACTTTTTGTACTCAGAGTGTTTGTGACCCCAACCCTCAGAAGCCCTGACCAGCTTGTCCAGTGGTCAGTAATTCTGGGAGCTGAAGTCCAAAATACCCGGAGGACCAATGGTTGTTGGACACCAGTGTTTTAGAAAGCAAGTTCTGTCACCCCTGGCATGGTCAATAATCTGGGAAGATGGACATTGTTGTTCAAGGTATCTGAAGAAGTCCCCAACTGGAGAAAACATATCTACACTCAATGGTCTACCTCGCATTAGTGTTGTAGGAAAGAAATATCGGGACCAGAGGAAGAAGTAAGGCCAAACCTAGTCTTCTTATAGTTCCAATCTGGTCTTCTGGGTTTTCCCATATGGACCTGCCCTCTTTCTCATGACATCATTGTTTGGTGCTTTCCAAGATTGTGTACATTTTCCCTCATTCTAAAAGACAAAAATGCTCCTAATTTGGATAGGAAAGACTGTTTCTCATCATACATTATTTAACTCTGGCCAAAATAATGGAGTGACAAGAATCTTGTACAGTGTTTATCCAGTCTTTGCACATGCCAACATTTTTCTAGATTGTTCTGCACAGAAAAACACATGAGTAATGATATCGGTTTTTTTAGTGAAAAACACCAGATTCCTTTACACACAGTTCCCAAATAGCACATGCGTGTTTGGAAGAAAGAATAACTCAAGATCAAGCCTTGATAAGTTACTTTTTTGGGTGAGAACTCCCAGAAGAGAATTGCTGAGAACTGTAGTCCACACTTGCATTGGGATTTGAAGTTCAAAATCATAACTATTCCAGCTTTGCTCAAGAATGCAATAAATCTTTCGAATTCCTCAATGAGGTTGCATGGAAGGCTAGGATACCTTCTGTTCCATCTTCTGCCACATAGCATTGACAAATCTTCAACCTCTATGGCAGAGCAGTTGCTGGAAGTTCAAGCTCACCCCAGATTGATATTTAGGGTACCCTTCTCTTCTCACCCACTGGCTTCAACCACCTCCCCAATTCAGTGTGTTATTTGTCAACACCCAAGTGTGTTATCTGTCAACACCCTAACCCTACCCCCCCCCCTCCCCGAAGGAGAAGGAGGAGTTTCCCATCAAGAAATTATCTGAAACAAGAGGCTGACTCTTAGGTTACAAGCTGCAATCCTCCTTGAATAAGAATGGTCATTCTTTTTTTTCTGGGGGGGGGGGGAGGCACTGGGGAAAAAGGAGGAAAGCCCATGATTAAAAATCCCAAATAAACTGAATTCATTTTTTTTTCTAAAATCATGGAAGGTATGCATTGCCAGGAGGGGTATAGCTATGGTGGGGGAATGACAGTACTGTTCCCAAAAAAGAATCCTGGACTTTTCCTTCCATTTCCAAATGTTTAGTGTTGCAGTAACTTCAGCTGACTATTTAAAAATATAGAGCCAGTATTTAAAGAAAAGAGGCAGGCAAACTGTGAATAGGCTGAAAATCCAGGGAAGACCAACCAAAATGGTTAAAAATTTGGAAACGAAGTCTTATGATCAGTGGTCAAAGGACCTGGGGATGTTTTGCTTGGAGAAGAGGAGAGTCATGTTTCAATATTTGAAAGGATGTCTCATGAAGGAGGGGGAAAAGCTTGTTTTCTGCTGCTCCAGAGACAAGGATACAATGGAGCCATGGATTCAAGAAACAGGAAAAGAGATTTGATCTAAACATTAGAAATACGGTAAGAAAGGAGTGGTGTCACCTCTGGAGGCTTTTAAGCAGAGGTTGGACGGCCATCTGTGTTTTGATTGTGTCTTCTTGCCTGGAAGAATACAGTTGGACTGGATGTCCCTTGGAGTCTCTTCCAACTCTAGGATTCTATTATTCTAAGGGTTAGTACATATGAATTATTGTCAATGTCCTGCTCTCTGAAATGCTAGAAATGTATCAAATTGCAACTCCTAGCATTCCTCTCCATTCACTATAGTGACAGGGCTGCTACAAGCTGCAGTTTGAGAACATCTGGAAGGCTGTATAATTCCCACTCCTGCTTTAGAAATGCTCAGCCTTTTGCTGAAGCAAGCACAGCTATTGATATGGGGGAAATCTTACAGTCAGGGAGCTGTCCAAAGTTCTGGCCAGCCTCACTTTTCTCCAATGCGCCTGAACCTTTCTTCTCCATCCTGAAACCTGATCTTGATCAATGTGACTTTGCTCCCAATCAGCTACTTTGCCCCCAACTCACTTCTTTGGGAGCACAGAAGCTAGTTGGGGTAGCACAAGATGCATTATCAAAACCACCTGCATCTGCAGAAGAACAGAGTGCTACTTATCGCTACTCAAAATGAAGCTTGATCTCTGCTACAGAAACAACATAGTACATTGCTACAGTGTTCAGCTGCAATCTTGCCTAATGCCCTGCGTCTACAGCAACGCCACACAAAGTGCCAATTTGCCACCTGTTCCGTTACTCCCGTACATTAGGCACATTACAATAATTGCGAGATGGAGGCCATTATAATAGGTCCTTTTGATTTGCCTGGAAAACATGTCTTCAGTGGGTTTATGCTATCTTTGTGGAGTATTGATTCATCCATGTAAAGAAAAACAAATTTAAATAACTATAACCCACTCTGCAGGCAAAAATGTTCCGTAGAGAGGAACCATAGAATACAGCCTTGCTCACAGGTTTACAACCTGGAAACAAAAGGAAGAAAAGGCAAAGGGAAGTAAGGGAAACTCAAAACACCGATATAGGGTTGCAAGCCACCTGAATGCATGGCAGTGCAGCCTCTTAACATGAGGCAGTTATCCCGCTAAGCCAGTGAGACGGGAACCATACAGAAAGCCCCTAACATTTCAAGATCCCAAGCATCGCAGATTCAAAAGGATTGGAGGGGGATAGCAGAGACCTCTTCTCTGGGTGAGTCTGCAGCAGAGTCAGAGTAGGCATCACTGAGCTAGACAGACTCACAGTTTGATCTGCCAGAAGGCAGCTGGCTGTGGTCCCCAAGATCAAAATGGCTCCATTAGCCATGTGGCAAGAGCACACATCAAAGGCACCCCACTGGGCCCTCTCAGTGGCCTACAGGAGAGTTCAAACTTCTTTCTAGATGCAGACAATATGCTACATTTTATGAGATTATTTCCTTTTCATCACAGAGTGAACCCAACCTCATAGTAGATAAAAATTGAAAATAACCACATGGTTGTGTTTTACAAAACATTCTACTAGGTCTCCCCCTTACAAGGGCAGAACAACCATCAAAATAAGCATGTTCAGGTAACTTGTTCAGTTACTGGCACATGCTTTTCTAACCACCCAAGCCAGTTCAATATGACCAGCATCCTCATTGGAATTGATTTTGACATTAAGTTATAGTATAGCCCTCTTTCTCCCTAGCCAACTTTACAGGGATGTTGTAAGGACTTGGTTTAAATATTTGAAAGGATGTCATAAGAAAGAGGGAGCAGGCATGTTTTCTGTTGCCCTGGAGACTAGGACTCAATGGAGCCATGGGCCCAAATTACAGGGAAGGAGATTCCACCTGAACATTACGAGGAACTTCCTGCCTCAAAGTCCAGCAAGGCTCATTCTGTGTGGATAAGAAAGTCCTGCACAACCTAGAGCCATGGGTGTTGGGACTCCAATTCCCAGAAGCCCTAGCTATTTTGTTCAATGGTTAGCAATGCTGGGAGCTGAAGTTTAAAACACCTGGAGGACTACAGCTTGTGCAGGCCTGGGATAATGTAACAGCCAAGCATTCCTTGCATTGGCAGTACATGACATAATCATTCTTCCTTCCCAACTCCTCCAGAAGCACAAAAAGGAGAAGCATGGCTCCTTACCCTTCACAAGGGATGTGCAAAGGGAAACTCAAACACCAATAAAGGTTTGCAAGTCACCTCACCAAAGTACAGGTGTTTGTATGTATATTATCTGAAATGCTTAACGCTGAATCCATTGCAGTGCAGCCTCTTACCATGGGGCAGCTATTCCGCTATGCTCCCCTTAAGCAAACTCAACAAGGACCTCAAAAGCAATCCAGGCTCAAAAACAGCAATTGAATTCTATTGCAATGGAAGTCCAATGAGCAGAGACAGCATAACAGAACCAATACAGCTTGGCATACAAGGAGGGGCAGGTCACACGAGCCAAGCTCTATCCCCTCCCACCAGCAACCTTTTGCAAACCCAATAAAAAAAGGAAAGTGAAAGTATAGCATTGAAAGAAAGGAAAAAATATGAAAAAGGAAAGAATTCAATAAGAGACTCACCTTGATTGAACCACTCCTCTGATAACCAGAAAAGCAGCCAAAGGAAAAGAACAAATAAAACGGATTCAAGAGGAAGAAAGAACAGACGAACAGTCATACCAGAAGCATATTTTTTTGTTTTTAAAACCCAAGAGCTACAGGCAAGCAGCACCTCCTGATTTCCTGGAGATGAGACACCCCTGCTTTCATCCCCTGCCAAAAGTGGAGGCCATCCTCGCCATTTGCCTCGCTGTTTGGTTTGGCCCGGCATCAACATATCAAAGGGAGCTCAGGGTGGTAGCAGTGGGAGGCAAAGGCTAGCTTCCTATGCTAGGCTAGGAGGATTTAAAATGATTGAAGCACCGGCTTCAAGCCTAAGGAAAGGAGAGAGAAAAACCAAACTTGATCATCAGGATTCAATCACTAAGGGGGCAACCCACAAAAACGTGCCTCTGCTCCTCCTTCAGCTCATTGGGGCTTGTACGTATCACCTTTCATGGGATTAGGAAATAAGATTTGCTTGCAATAATTTGATCAAGGTTACTGATCTCCATTCTCACTGAAGCAGTAGGTCTGTGTCTGGACTTTACTACTCAAGGTGGGAGGTTCATATGATTGAATACTATCTTATAGGAAGGAAACCTCTGCCCATTAAGGTACAGTGTCGGGAAAGCCTGATGCTCTAGCTTCCTCACAGGCTTTCTGTGTATGTGGACATCTCGGCATGGAGGGACATTCATTCATATGAGTCCTCACCCACAGCCTGAGATGAAACATGTATTAATGTGCCAAGATCCTTTTCAGTTCACCACCACTTTCCTTTCATTCTTTCACCCAATTGTGCTGAACCATATGACCTCAAGACATTTTGCTAGAGCAATATCCATGTGCAAGGCAGTTGTGCTTGGCCAAGGCTCTAGGGTCAAAGTCAAGAAGCAGCTACCCTCAAAGGCCCACAGTGTGGCGGAGGAAGAGAAATATGGTGGTATTCAACGCAAGCAAATCTGTACTGCATTTCATTCCTGCATTGAGCCTGTTTAATATGGATTAAGTTAAAAGCTTGCCACATTCCAGAGCCCAGCTCTGACTCAGGATGCAATGCAGATCATAGCCCTTACTGTCTCCTTTGTTGTTTGGCCAACACTGGCCAAACAACTGTGGAAAGATGCCAGGGTACTGGGTTATGTGACCTCCATACTTCATTCCACCTGACAGTTGTGTCCCTTTCTGGGCTCATATTAACTAAAACTCCTTTAAAAATACCATTAAATAAAAGCTCACAATTGATTGTGCCATGTCAACTCCTTTTCATCGAGGGCCACATCAGCTCTATGGTCGCCCTTCACAAGGCTGCTGAATCCATGGATATAGAAGGCAAACTTTTTTTTAACATAGTGGTTGGTGCTCTTTAGTTTTTACCGAATTTGGGTGCAGGGGTGTTATTGAATGACAGCTCCTGTCACTTCTGATTATCTGCCATATGGAATGGGCATCATGGGGATTGCAACCCAACAGCCCTTGTGGTTCTGAGGTTGGGGAAAGCTTAAAGGGCATTGTAAACATCAGACATCACACTCACAAGCCTTTTAGCTAAATCCAAGCCTCATCCTCCTGACCAAACAGAACAAACTGCAGCCTTCCAGACATTACTGTATTGCAACTGCCATCAGCTCTAGTCATGATGGGGAATACAGGAGTTGTTGAGCACCTGGAGGGCCACATAAAATGACATGGCAGGCCTGTGGAACTTGAGTTTGAGATTCAGCCTGTGGAACTTGAGTTTGACATGTGTCATAGAGTATAACATCACACAGGATAACAAAACTGTTATTTTAAAATCCTGTTTCATACATGGACAATTTCCATGCATCATGCACATGGTGAATGGGGCACTTCAAACCACAGTGGGCCACAATACACTTGGGGAACTAAAGAGCTATCTGGTTGAGTAGCAGCCCAGAAACCCTTTGGGTATCAGATCAAAAGCTGAGGAACCAAAACTGGCAAGAGAGCAATCTGGATTCAGAAACAGAGTAGCGTCCCAGGGCTTTTTTGGATGTCTCTAACATCGCTTCCAGAGCCCTTGCTGTCCACCTTTTACATGGAGGCTGACTGTTCAGTGCAAACAGCTGGGGAAAAGGTGTGCCAAGCCTTTCCCCAAACAGTACAGCACCATTGAGGGAGACACAATGCTGTGATGAGGTAAAGTCTACTTCTGTTTGTTTGGATCACAGATTGCTGGTGTCTGCATGGGATTTTAATCAGTTGTTTAAAATATCTGAGTGTCTTATTGCACCTCAAAGCACAGCCTTTCCGAAAGCAGCCACAACTTGCATTAGCACCAGCTAGTATAGAAAATGACTGGCTGATGGGAGTTGTAGTCTGACATATCTAGAATGTATCAAATTGGAGAAGGAGGGCTGACAAAACTAAAATATCAAATCACAACTTCTCACAATCTTTCCTTTGCTGCGGGAACAGTCAGAGGTTTAACCAGTCCTCTGTTTCCATTAGCAAAATGTAGTCTCAGGAGGACAGTTTTTGCAGAGAAGATGTTTTGCTGAGGGGGAAGTCCTCCATGTTTCTATCATCTCCCTAGAGGGATGAACTCAGGCCCCACAGTTTATGGAATCTATTTTGCTTGGGATTTTAGAATCTCCGACTTCCAGACATATATGCCGTACCTGCTCAGCTCTTGGCTATTAGTATATTATTGTCAAAAACACCGATAGTAAGTTTAGCATGTCCAATGTATTAAGAAAGAAATGTGTATGTTAGTGCTATCTGTTTGCATTATTCAGGACACAACTGGCAGCAGTTACCTGGAGTTCTTTGCCAAAGGGGAATGATATTATCTTGCTCCTGCCCTTCAGTGTGAAATTGCAAAGGAACTGGCCTAGACAATGATCTGCACTTCTTATGGCATAGAACAAATGTCGTGGCTTCTATGTAGAGGTCTGGATGCCAGCTCCCTCCCCATGGTTCCCCGCATCCCCTGCCACACTGTCTCTGAACTTGCAGGCAATGTTTAACTATAATGAGCCATAAGCATAGATTGACCAATTCTCCATGGGACTTGCCAGTGCCTTTGATTCTTGGGCTTCTGATACCTCGCAAATGCCCTTGTGAGGTATCACAAGCCCCATGCATCTGAACAAGGCCAAGATCAAAGTGTCTCAAGTGCACAGCATCTTTTCAGTTACATCAAACAGGGACAGCTTGGCTCACAGCTCGCTGTTCTGTTGCTATCTTGGTGTGGGGTCTCTGATCCCTCCAAGTGTCTGCTTGTGATCTGGATTACATGGGTTCTGTTATGTGTGTGGCAATTGGGTTATTGCATTCTGTCCCTTTCTATTCTGTGCTTTGGCATTAATGACTGTCAGTAACTGTTAAATTACAGCGAGACATGGACAGGTTGAACATCGCTTCAAGTATTACAAGACAAGCATATATGCTGTAACTCAGGCCTACACAACCTGCAGCCCTCCAGGTGTTTTGGACTTCAGCTCGTAGAATTCCTGACCATTGGAAAAGCACGCAGGGCTTCTGGGAGTTGGAGACTCAAACAGCTGGAGGACCACAGGCTGAGCAGGTCAGCTCTGACTCTTAGAGCTGAGATCCTACATCAATGAATTGTAGAGGTGGATCTATGCTACAGCTCTTCTCTCACCACCCCTAGAACTCATCACACTGTGGCGCCTGGAAAGTAGCAATGGATTTGAGAAATGTCTGGTTATGTCCCGAGGGCTAGATGCAGGATGATGATATCATCCACCAAGAGTTACCAGAGCCTTCCAGGGATCTTTGAAGGACCCCCCCTCCCCCATCTCTCTGAACCTGTTAGAAGACTAAGGTAATCTGGGGAGGGCCTTGATCTCTGTATTCCACTGCATCCCTCTCAAGCATCTTTGAGGGCAACTTTGAGAGAGGGTCTTTACAGTGGCTGCTGCCAGACTTTGGAACTCCCTCCCTAGAGAGAACTGGAGGACACCACACCTACTGGCTTTCCACAAGCAGCTTAAGACATTTCTTTGCCATCAGGCACTTGGGCAAGGATGAGAGCATGCTATTGAGGGAACTGTAGGTGGAATTGATGTGGGGGGCGGGGGGGGGGGGGGGGGGGAGTGATGAGTTTTAAAATGTAGTTTTAATTGTATTTTGTTGTATTTTAAACTTTGGAGCCATGACACAAACATTTCATTGTTTTCACATTTTGTATTTGCCATGTTTTTAAAGTTATTGGGTTGTGTCATCTCATTATAAGCCACCTTGAGGAGGGGTAGAAATAAAAGTAACAACTAATATGAATAAAGAAATAATATAAATTAAAAGAAAGAAAGGAAAGAAAAGAAAAGAAGGGCAGATATGTCATCCTTCTGCATTTGGCTACAGGGACATAGCCAGATGCCTCTCTGATCCATCTCATCATGGAATGAACATAGAGGGGGGCTATCATAGCAAAACAATAGGTCCTGGGCAGGGCGGGTGGGGGTTGCCTTTGCTCACTGCAGTGGGAGAAAGAGACTACCAATTTCAATAACTACCCAAAATAGTTTGAAGGTGTTCTCCTGTACCTATGAAGACTAAACTGAGCCTACCAAAGGAGAGTAACATGCACACAAGCCTTGCCTCTCATTTTCTTGCCCACAGAGACTCACCTAAACACTTTCCTATTTTGAGTGAAAATATTAATGAAAAGCGTGTTCTCAAGTTTAGCTGAATGCAGTGTGATGCCTCCACCTTACTGAGCACCCCAAAAGGCAAGCATTCCTGATCAAATGGAGCATTCAAGCAAGTTCAAGGAACCATGTATAGAAACCTTTGCTGACCGTATTGTGTGCAATTACAAGCTTTTTGAGGGGCCAACCTGGCTGGGGATTGTGGAGAGAGGACCTGTCCTGGCCATTTCCCCCATCCTCAGTACTAACTGGAGAAACGAGTATGCAACTTTGTCACCCATCATGAGGTACAGGTTATACAATGAGAACAGAAACTTTGGGTTAGTGAGTGGCTTAAAAGTGAAATAAACAAATAAAATAAAGTCAATGTATACACAAATGATTATCATGAAGGCTGGGTTGAAATGTGTTCATTTGTAATATCTCCTCACTTTTGCAGCCACAAAAACAGAGGACTATTAAATCCATTTTCCAGGAATGGGGAGGGCAATTCAGGAGAACAGGAATAACATCTGTTGTCCTCCCAATTGCCTTTTGCATTGTTTCTCAATCTTTTGTCCTCCAGCTGCTTTGGACTTCAACTCCCAGAAATCCCAGACAGCTTACCAGCTGTTAGGAATTGTGGGAGCTGAAGTCCAAAACACCTGGAGGACTAGAAGTTGGGAACCACTGGCTTATCATCCCCCCCCCCCCCAATATCCCAAGGTGACATTATTTTATTAAACACAGTCACACTGCAAATGGTGTTCTGGTAAAAATGCCATCTACTAACAGGGATTTTTGCAAGATGCTGCTCAGAATAAATTTGGAGAAAATGAAAACGGAGAGTAGCAGCACAAGTTGTAAGCAGGAGGACCTCTACATTTACCCTTCTTTACCTGAAATACTAAGATGTTAGGTACTTCTACCACCACTGCTACCACTGTTTTCAGTAAATGTCAATTGAGCACTACATTCAATACACATGTCTTCTATTATGTCTAAAGATACGGTGATATCAGTTTCATAGCACTCTCAATTTCATAGCTTCATTTTAAAGAATACTGGGATAGGTAGTTTACCCAGGAACTCTTGGCAGGTTTCACTCGTCAGCACACATTTTGGTACCTCAAATGCCAGCCCTGTTTCTAGGTATAGTTGACCTAATGCTTCCAGAAATGGCACCAGTTTACTTTCTCAGTTCTAGCTTTATCTGCCAGTCACCATCTGCTCGACCCATGATGACCATTATCTAAGTATCTAGGCCTGATGCGGTCTATCCAATTCCATTTTCTGAATCAGCGGCCCAAAAAAATAATAATCCAGGAACAGGCCTAAAAACAAAGACACTAAGGGGAAAAATGATTGTTGTTGGACTGTGTTATGTTCTGGTTCTTGCAAAATAATCTGGGAATTCAAAGCTGAAGAAATAGAAAGATGCAGGCACAAACATCTCAGCCAGATCTGGTCAACTGCCCTGTTTGCTTTAGGAACACATACCTTTGGCCTTCTTCCCACCAAAGCAGCCAGCATCATCTTTCTTCTTCTTGTGGGTCCCCCCGAGGCCTCCAAGGTAGCTGGCGTCAAGTTCCTGGTACTTGTCCGCTCCTGGGACTTCCTTGTGGACGTGGTACGAGAGGTTCCTCATGATGCACACACAGTTCTCCACCGACTACAGGACAGCAGGGACAGAAAAGACATGGAAAAAAAAACACGAGTAAACAATCACATAATATAACTAGCAATAGTTCCCCAGGCTAAAAGATGGCTGTCTTGAGCAGTTTTAGGTGATCATCACAGCTGACTTACGTTATAAGCAGAACATGATTCCCACCTGTTGAATCATTTGGTTCCCTCTTTTTTTGAAGGAATATTGGAAGCTGCCCTATATGAGCTCGGACCTGGCTACTCTGACTGGGTTTGCAGTGTCTTTTGCATCACCTGCTGCCTGCTTTTCTGAACTTTAGGTGCAAGAAATGAAAGTACAACATTCTGCATGCAAGGCACGTGCCCCGCTGCCGAACTCCAGCCCTTCCTGCTAATGAAGAAACGCTCTTCAAAAAAAGCAGTTGGCATTTTTAAAGTAGTAGGTGAGAAACATTTTTCCTTTTTTTTTTTTTTGCTTACTTCTCTGTTCTTTTACCATAGCTCCGTGAAAGAAAAACAGACTTTGTATGTATGAGGCCCCCTCGGGTTCAATCTGCCACTAATGAGTCCCAGGTGGCAGAAAGACCACTGCCGGAGAGCACGGAACAGGAGCATTCATTGGGGGCTTGTCGGGAGTCAGGAAACAATGACAAAAGCCTCAAACGCTGATGTGGCAGGGCTGCTGGGAATGAGCTGTCGTCTCCCCCTCCCTGTCATTCTGTGTAGCTGAACTCTTAAAGTTACTTTGGAGAAAAATGAATGCAATGGCATACTATAACTGAGGAATGATAGGATAACACCCAGAGTCCCCTTCAGAATGGAATGACAAAACACAACAAGAAAGCATGTGTGAGCAATTACAGTGGTGCTAATAGAGGTGTCAAACTTGTGTCCATCCAGATGTTTGGGCCTCCAACTCCCAAAAGTCCTAGCCAGCTTGTCCAATGGCCAGATATTCTAGGAGTTGGAGGCCAGAACAAGTGGAGGGCCACAAAATTGACACCACAGTTATGGGACAATGCTATGCATTTGGGAGCCATACAGACTGCCAAAATGCACTCCAAACCTGAAGATGGTGGGAAGATCTCTCAATGTTAAACATGCATGCTAGGAGTGTTGGACAATATATATTTTAATGGGGGGCTGTAGCCCAGAGATGTGGCCCCGCAAGTGCCCCAAGAGACCAGTGCAACTACCTCATCCTTGATTGTTACCGGACTCTAAACTGGAAGAAGGCATGAAGCACAGAGGACATGCTTTGCATGTATCAGTAACAATAGTTCAGTATTTTTCAATGAAGTTGCCCTATTTGTGTATTTCAGTACAGAAAGTTGAGATAAGACAACTTATCCCTTTTTAGAATATTCTATAAAAGGAGGGAAGTGGTCTTATTTCAGCTTTCTGCACTGAAATACACTAATGAGGCAACCCCATTGAAAAAAGCAGTATGTGTGAAAAAGATCTTGAGAGTCCTCAAGGACAACAAGTTAAACATAAGCCAACAATGTGATGAGACAGCAAAAAAGCCAATGGGATTTTGGCCTGCATCAATAGGAGTATAGTGTCCAGATCCAGGGAAGTCATGCTACCCCTCTATTCTGCCTGGGTTAGACCAGACCTGGAATATTGTGTTCAATTCTGAGCACCACAATTGAAGAGAGGTATTGACAAGCTGGAATGTTTCCAGAGGAGGGCGACTAAAAGGGTCTGGAGAACAAGCCCTATGAGGAGCAGCTTAAAGAGCTGGGCATGTTTAGCCTGAAGAAGAGAAGGCTGAGAGGAGACACGATAGCCATGTATAAATATGTGAGAGGAAGTCATAGGGAGGAGGGAGCAAGCTTGTTTTTGGCTGCCCTGGAGCCTACACGCGGAACAATGGCTTCAAACTACAAGAAAGGAGATTCCATCTGAACATTAGGAAGAACTTCCTGACTGTGAGAGCCGTTCAGCAGTGGAACTGCCCCGGAGTGTGGGGGAGGCTCCTTCTTTGGAGGCTTTTAAACAGAGGCTGGATGGCCATCAGTCAGGGGTGCTTTGAATGCAATTTTCCTGCTTCTTGGCAGGGGGTTGGACTGGATGGCCCATGAGGTCTTTTCCAACTCTATGATTCTATAACCAATAATGAGGAATGACGTAAGTTCCTGTCTAACAGCTCAAGGATTACATGCTCACCATCCATGATATTACATCATTTCTCATCACTGACTATGATTACTAGGCTAATGGGAGTTGGAGTCCAACCGCATCCAAAGACCATATAGTCCTTGGCCCTTGCTATATAGGCACTTTTCTCTAGAACTGGGCAGGGAATCATTTGGTGCTGCGAGATGTGACTAGACTGCAGTTTCCAGCAGACCCAGCCAGGATAGCCAATGACAAGAGATGTTAGCAGTTGCACTCCAACAATGTCCAGAAGTTCACATAGTTTCTATCCACTTTGTAACCCAACTAGAAATGCCCAAGTCAACTCAGTCCCCAACATATGCACTAAATGTAAAACCAATCATTTTATGTCCACAATGACAAGTTGGAGAAGACATCGTCATCTCTGGTCCAGTATTTTGCACTCACAGCAGTCAAACCAATGCTCCAATGAGAAACTCCCATAGCTCTCTTCTCCTCATGGTCCAAAAGGTTATATAAGGAGGACTGTTCCAGGACTTTGATCTACTCATTTGAATTTTTAAACTCCTTTTCAGGCTCAATAGATTCCTCCCTGAGGTATCAACCATGTTCACTTCAGTCAACGGGAGACTACCAATCACCTTATTATCAGTGTCCTTCTTGCCCACCGCAGACTGCAGAGCGTGAAGGAGGGCATCTACCAAGCCGTCGCATTCTCGGAGTCTCCTGCGGGCTTCAGCTCCATCCGAACTGACGTTCCTGCAAGCAAGAAGTATGGTAGCATGAGCGTCATAACCCTCACAGCAATTTAAGCAAACTTCCCTTGTGTAGCCATTATGGCCATTAGAAATCTAATGATCCTGAATTAAATAACATACGAAGCAGATCATTTCTGAGAGCCACCAGGGTACAGCAGCTGCAGAGTTCCAGGAAAAACAGAGGTTTAACATTCAATCAAGTGTTTACGGAGGGAAGTCAGTCTATTTTCTACTTGTGCACTTCAGAATGTCCTCCCTGTCATACGGAATTTGGAAATAATTAGTTAAAAATCCATTTATTCTTCCATTTTGTTTTAATATGTGTATTTTAGATAATGTTTTATGATGACATGTTTTTAGCTATGTTGTGCCCTGCCTCAAGCCAGAAGAAGCAGATAAGAAATAAAATGATGATGATGATTATTACTACTACTATTACTATTATTATTGCTATTACTATGATTTCAAATGTGTTCAAATAAATAAAAGCCAAGGCTTAAATTATTTTTCTCTGCTACTTAGCAGAGAAAAAAATATGCCCTATATGCGAGTATAAGCCGACCCAAATATAAGCCAAAACACCTATTTTACCAGAAGAAACTGAGAAAATGTATTGACTTGAGTATAAGCCGAGACTGAGAAATGCAGCAGCCACTGGTAAATTTCAAAATAAAAATAGATACCAATAAAGTTACATTAATTGAGGCATCAATTAATGTTAGTTACAATTCAATTCTGTTAGTTACTAATATCAATGGTGCTATTGTGCGGTCACTTTAATTTTGCATTTGCACTTTACATTGTGTATTATATAATCACTCCCAACAATGGTCGAATGGCCGGGGAAAATTGGAGATGGTTTTATAAGGCGAAGGAATTGAACTACAATAATGGCGGAAATGATGGTTTAACAACCGCCCGGGCTATTGACATATCATATAACAGCGCACTAGTGAACTACCAGTATGTGGAGAACGATAGGGGGAGAGGGAGGGAGTTCCGGTGCTTGGGGGGCCCCCATCGAGGTGATGATGGGGAGGGGGAGATACGGGAAAGGTAGAGTTAAAAAACCAATTCGGCCAATTCGTGAGCAAACCTTAAGAAAAATTCCAAAATGTCCTCCCGACATGGTAAACTTGGGTACCAAGGTAGACGGTCCTCACGGATTAAAGGTGGTGCTGTTGAACTCCAGGTCTGTCAATGGTAAAACATCAACCATTCAGGATTTAATCCTGGATGAAAAGGCAGACCTGGCGTGCATCACAGAGACCTGGTTGGATAAGGCTGGAGGGGTTAATCTCACCCAGCTTTGCCCACTAGGTTATGCCGTGCAACACTAACCGAGATCCGGGGGGTGGGGAGGCGGAGTTGCAATAGTCTATAAAGATTCCATCTCCTTGGTCAGGGGCCCAGCCTTACAGTCGACCTTGTTTGAATGTGTCCACCTGAGGCTAGGAGACCGGGACAGAATAGGGCTGTTGTTGGTGTACCGACCACCCCGCTGCACCACGGCCGCCCTACCTGAGCTTGCAGAGTTAGTCTCGGGCCTGGCATTGGAGTCCCGGCGGCTTGTAGTGCTGGGGGACTTCAATGTCCATGCAGAGACCACTCTTTCAGGAGCGGCTCAGGACTTCATGGCTGCCATGGCAACTATGGGGCTGTCCCAATTACTATCTGGCCCTACCCACTGTGCTGGACACACCCTTGACTTGGTCTTCTGTCAGGGCTGGGAAGAAGGTGGCGGTGTGGAGGAGTTATCAATCTCCCCATTGCCATGGACTGACCACCACCTGATCAAGTTTAGACTTGCTGCAACTTCTAACCTCCGCAGGGGTGGTGGACCCATTAAGATGGTCCGCCCCAGGAGGCTTATGGATCCAGAAGGACTCCTGATGGCTCTTGGGGATGTTTCCGCTGCTTTGGATGGTGATTCTGTAGATGCCCTGGTCGCTCACTGGAATAGGGAGTGGACTAGGGCAATAGACACGATTGCTCCGGAGGGCCCCCTATTAAGTCGCCGAGCGAAACCTGCCCCTTGGTTCAACGAGGAGCTGGTGGAGCTAAAGCGAACAAAGAGGTGGCTAGAGAGCGTGTGGAGGAAAGAGCCCAGCGAGCCAAACCGAATACACCTACACCTTTATCTAAGGACGTATGGCGCGGCAATAGAGGCCGCGCAAAATGCTTTCTACTTGGCCAATATTGCGTCCGCAAGGAACCGTCTGGCAGAGCTGTTCTGAGTAGTCAGCGGGTTGTTGAATCCCACCTCGAGTGGTCCCTTGACGACTCGGCAGCGCGCTGTGAAGTATTTGCTCAGTACTTTGCGGACAAAGTCGCTTTGATCCACGAGGGCTTTGACACCACATTAACTGCAGTCTCTGAGGATGTAACTCAAGCACCTGCTTGTCCAGTTTTGTTGGATTCGTTTTGATCTGTTCAACTCGACGAGGTCATCAGGGTTCTGGGAGAGGCGAGGCCTACCACATGCATCCTAGACCCCTGTCCTTCCTGGCTGGTAAAAGAAGCCAGAGGGGGTTTGGCAGAGTGGGTAAAGGTGGTGGTTAATGCCTCCCTTCGGGAAGGCAAGATTCCAGCCAGCTTAAAACAAGCTGTCATCAAACCGCTGTTGAAAAAACCATCACTAGACCCCACTCAATTCGTCAACTTTCGGCCAGTTTCCAATCTCCCCTACTTGGGCAAAGTCCTGGAACGTGTGGTGGCCTCGCAACTCCAGGAATTCCTGGTGGACACGGACTATCTAGATCCGTCACAGTCTGGCTTTAGGCCGGGACATGGTACTGAGACAGCCTTGGTCGCCTTAGTTGATGATCTTCGCCGGGAATTGGACAGGGGGAGTGTGTCCCTGCTGGTTCTGCTGGACCTCTCTTCGGCCTTCGATACCGTCGACCACGGTATCCTTCTGAGACGCCTCGCGGGAATGGGCCTTGGGGGTACTGCATTGCAGTGGCTCCAGTCGTTCCTCGAGGGTCGTTCTTAGAAGGTGTCTTTAGGGGGCACCTGCTCGACTCCGCGGCCATTGTACTGTGGAGTCCCGCAGGGTTCAGTTTTGTCCCCTATGTTGTTTAACATATACATGAAGCCGTTGGGAGAGATCATCCGGAGTTTTGGGGTGCGATGTCATCTGTACGCAGATGATGTCCAACTCTATCACTCTTTTTTACCTGCCACTAAGGAGGCTGCTCAGGTCATGAACCGGTGCTTGGCCGCTGTCATGGACTGGATGAAGGACAACAGATTGAAACTAAATCCAGACAAGACAGAGGTACTCCTGGTCAGTCGTAAGACCGAACAGGGTACGGGGCTACAGCCTGTGCTGGACGGGGTCACACTCCCCCTAAAAGCACAGGTACGCAGTCTGGGAGTTCTCCTGGATTCATCGCTGAGCCTGGAACCCCAGGTTTCAGAGGTGGTCAGGGGAGCATTCACACAATTAAAACTTGTGCGCCAGCTGCGTCCGTACCTTGGGAGGGCTGACTTGGCCACGGTAGTACACGCTTTGGTTACATCCCGCTTAGATTACTGCAATGCTCTCTACGTAGGGTTGCCTCTGAAGACTGCCCGGAAGCTGCAGCAAGTACAACGCGCGGCAGCCAGATTACTAACGGGTGCTGGGTACAGGGAGCACACCACTCCGCTGTTACTCGAACTCCACTGGCTGCCGATTAGCTTCCGAGCACAATTCAAAGTGCTGGTGTTAACCTATAAAGCCCTAAACAACTCCGGCCCTGTCTACCTCTCCAAACGTATTCTCCCCTACGAACCATCAAGACCACTAAGATCGTCTGGAGGGGCCCTGCTCTCGGTCCCACCGCCTGCACAAGCACGGCTGGTGGGGACGAGGGACAGGGCCTTCTCGATGGTGGCCCCTCGACTTTGGAACTCCCTGCCATTAGAGATCAGAACTGCCCCTCCCTCATGACGTTCAGGAAACTAACAAAGACCTGGTTGTGGAACGCGGCATTTGACAACTGATTTAATTCTTTGCCCACATGAAAGGAGGATGATGAATGGGATTGTGATGGTGTTGGACGATTTGGCTCTTTTAACTGTGATGATAATGTTTTAATGTGTATGGTGCTGATATTTTAATCGTGTAATGAAGTGGCATTGTGTTGTTATTGTATATTCTTTGTATGTTAACACATGTTGTGAACCGGACCGAATCCCTCTTTGAAGGTGAGAGGGTCGGTATATAAAACCTCGAAATAAGTAATAATAAATAAATATCAGTAGGTTAAATGTTTTTTAATATTTACATAAAGCTGTAATTTAAGATAAGACTGTCCAACTCTGATTCAGCCATTACTCTAACCTTCTTCAATGTAAAGGTGCTTATGTATCCTTCCAATATTAATAGAGTAAAATAATAATGTAATAAAATAATAATAATAATAATAATAGAGTGAAATAATAGAATGAAATAACAATAATAATGGAGTAAAATAATAAATGTAATAATAACAATAATGAATAGAGTAAAATAATGTAAATGTAATAAAATAATACATGTAACAAAAATAATAAATAACGTTGACTCGAGTATAAGCTGAGGGGGGCTTTTTCAGCCTAAAAAGGGGGCTGAAAAACTTGGCTTATACTTGAGTATATACAGTATGTTTTGCCATTTGGTGCCATTGGTAGTTATTTTGTGTGTATGGTGGCTGCGATGGTACATGCCTTGGTTGCATCCCAGTTGGATTACTGCAATGAGCTCTATGGGGGCTACCTTTGAAAAGTGCTCAGAAATCTCAGCTGGTCCACAGAGCAGCAGCCAGACTGCTGCCTGGGGCTGGCTACAGGGAGCGGACACCTCCTCTGTTGCAAAAGCTCCAGTGGCTGTCAATGACACATTTCTGGGCACAATTCAAAGTGCTGGTTTTGACCTTTAAATCTCTATACGGCTCTGTTCCAGAAGGACCATTGCTCTTTCTATTAACCTAGTAGATACCTATGATCAACTGGGGTGGGTCTTCTATGTGTTCC